GTGTGTGTGTGCGTGTGTGTGTGTGTTCATTTTATACAAAATACCTTTTGTCCCGGTGCGGTGGTGGAGCGGTTAGTGCGCTCGTCTCCGAAGTGATAAGTTCGGGTTCGAGCCTCGGTTCGGGCACTGGGTTTTTTTTTCGCCCCCTCCTGCCCACCCAGCAGTAATGGGTACCTGACTTCGAGTTGGGGAAGTAAAGGCGGCGGGGAAAGAACTGGCCACCCTACCACAATATGCCGAAGGCCCAGGAAGTTGTCTTGCTAACAAAGCAATCCCAATTATCCGGATCGGATGCAGGAACAACTTTGCTTTTTTTACCTTTTGTCCCAACTGGTGAATTTTTTAAAAAGTTCTCAACTGATTTTTGTTGCGTACTTTATTTACTTTACTTTTATCCGCCGCTTATACCCTTTTGGGTGTCGCGGGAAGAAAGAGACGTCTCTCTGCCACCAGCCGGAAAGCTTGGGTCAGGGGGATGCCGTGAGATGTTAATGTTTCCCTGACTCCATCAGGTCTTTCTCGATCGCCCTGTCACCCTCCAGCCTTACTGCCATCGAATTTTTTATGTCAGCACGCTGTGCTGGGTGGTGTGTTGGTAATCGCTTGAGATGTCCGAACCATTTGGTTCTTTGGTGATTTTTGTTGTGCGACAGCGAAATTGAAAGGAAGTTGAAACATACGAATTACATCTCACGTATACAAAAATCTCATTGTCGAATGTCAACTACAGGTTGGGCCACAGTTTGCCATCACCATCAAACAAAACTATTCTTGATTGGTATGTAGATATCTCTAGGAAATACTAAAATATCGGACTGGGCATTTGCGTCTGTGTCCGACAAAAGGAAAAGTGAACGACATAGTTATAAAGTTAGCTGTAACGAGAACATTGACGCAGTTCGCTGCTCTGAGGAGGTCATGCCAAAAAAAGTTCATCCTCGGGGTGTTTTTAGAAAAAATCTTTTTCCAGAATTTTGAGATGATCTCGATTTAAAGGCGTGTCATATTTCGATACACCAAGTAGGCATTTCCGGTGACCACGCCAGTGAACGGGTCAAGAATAGGATACATGTAAATATTATAATAGGCTATGTGTAAATGGTTTGATGTCATTAAAAAAATTGTTTAACGATGAAGCCCACTTTTACCTGAACACAGACTTTGGGAAGTAAGGGACGAATAGAGACAATCAAACAGAACAATGGGTGGTTTAAAATTCAAAAAGACGAAACGATTAGAGCCTTGATGACAATTTTAATGCACTGTGTAATCACAGTAATTAGATTTCGAGTTAGGTTAAGATGAATCATACTGATGAAATTTTGTACTGCAGACATCCCTCATTTGAAAGTAACAGAGAGCCCAATTCGCAACGAGAAGCGCTCGTTGCATTCTGCAGGAAATCATTGAATTCGCCGGGTAGGTCGAGCAAGCTGTTTTCGGTTTGGTCTCGCCTAAATATATTCCGCCTTGTGGCAGAGGGCGATTCACACCTAGTATTTTTTGTAAGCTCGTGTTGATAAACAAAGTCGCTGTAGTGCGATAACATAGCAGTTGACCCTTTCTGTCTTTGGAGCGGCTTCAAATCGCCAAAGTTCATTTTGAATATTGATATATATTATTGGTTTGGTATAATTAAATTTTGAAACTGAATGAAAAGTATTATCAGCAATCAATCTCTTGTCCATTGTCCAATAGACAAAGGATGGCAGGGGCCGCGAGTCTTGTCCTGTTATTGAATCGCCCCTGGCCCCTGAAAACAGAGGAAACAAAGCAAATTTGATAGGTGAGTCTGTTGACGGATTAATCAACTTCATTCTTTCTCCGAAGTAAGCCGATAAAAATGGGGTCGGCACTATTAATAAGGTATCAAAGAAGTACATGTAGTTATCGCTGCTAAGAAAGCCTCTCTCTCTCTCTCTCTCTCTCTC